TGTGTGAGTGTGTGTGTGTGTGTGTTATTGAATAGGTTTTTAGACCCCAAATCGTGTTGTTGTAGATGTTGGTCAGATGTGTAGTCGTGTTGAGCTTGTGTGTGTGTGTAGGGGTGTGTGTGTGAGTGTGTGTGTGTGTTTGTGTGTGTGTGTGTGTTTGTGTGTGTGTGTGGGTGAGTGTGTGTGTGTGTGTTTATTGAATAGGTTTTTAGACCCCAAATCGTGTTGTTGCAGATGTTGGTCAGATGTGCAGTCGTGTTGCACTTGTTTGTGAGTGTGCGTGTGTGTGTGTGGGTGGGTGGGTGTGTATGTGTGTGTGTGTGTTTATTCAGTAGGTTGTTAGACCCCAAATCGTGTTGTTGTAGATGTTGGTCAGATGTGTAGTCGTGTTGCGCTTGTTTTGTGTGTGTGTGTGTGTTTATTGAGTGAGATGATGCATTTGTAGCGCGAGAATTGTACATCTTTAGATTTTAGCATCGGGAACAGGTAGATTCAAGAAGATTTAGCGTGATTAAATCCTAAGGGCTGTCAAAACTCTAGGATCTCAAAAATCGAATATAATGGTAATTTAGCATTCTTATTATCATAAAATGTTGGTTAAGTTGTAAACTTATTTCCTTAATTTATTGTGAATAATTAATGCTAATTTTGTTAAAAGTTAATAAACGATTCCTAAACATGATATACAGTTGTTTCTTTCTATGCAGTAATTGAACTATGAAAGATAACAGTGAACGGCATTTAAAGTGGGTCTCAATGTGTGTTTGTCGGTGTGTTTGTCGGTGTGTGTATCTCCGTCCTGTGTTTATATATATGTACTGTTGTTTTTTTTTTTCGTATGTACATGTAACGTGTGTATGTTTTTGTATGTTGCAGTGTTAGTCTATGCTGAATTATATGTTTATTTGTGTAAGCTTAAGTAGGTATATCTGTGTATATTTCTGTTGCTGTGTATGTTTGTGTGTGTTTGTAAATGTATGTATGATTGTTTGTACACGTTTGTGATGGTTTGAATGTGTATGTATGTTTGTGTGTGTGTGTTTGTGTATATATATATATATATATATATATATATATATATATATATATATTATATATATATTATATATATATATATATATGTGTGTATGTGTGTATGTTTGTACATATGTGTGTAAGTTTGTATGTGCTTGCATGTTTGTGTGTATTTGTGTATGTATGCATGTATGTGTTTGCATATGTGTGTATGTTTGTGCATATGTGTGTATGTTTGTAAATGACGTTGGGTATGATTTTTAAAGTCATGTTTAGTCACTATTTATGTTTGTATTTGACACTATGTTTGTTGCTTATGTATATACGTATGCGTTTATGTATTTAAGTATAGGGGAATTTTAAACATAGCTTTTTATAATCCCGATCACACACATCCAATCATTTGGTGAGGTCAAAGAAACAGAAGAACTCTACTTCATCTACTCAGTGGATTGCTAAATCGGGATGAAAATTTTACTTTTCTATGTCTGCGTACATGTGTGTATGTGAACGTTTGTCTGTGTCTACGTATGTCTGTTTCTGTATGTTTGAACCTTCAACTTTCACCTCATACATTCAAACCACACGCGCACTAGGTGGCACTATATCGCCATTTTTTTTTATATACCGGAAACTATTTTTTGACAGTTCCGCCAATTTACAGCTTCATTTTTTTCACGTGTTAAAAAAAAACACCAGCTAAATTTTATTCCCCGGTTAATTAAATAACTTTTTATCCCCTAACAAATATTTATGTTGAAAGAAGTTTGAAATTTTTCTTTTAACTTAATGATTTATATCAACATAGGTAATATAATAACATTTTTTTTTATAAAAATCGCACTCTACCACCTTGATCTTTGGATCATCCCTAAACATAAAAGCCTACAATCTCTATCGTAACGTGCTGCGTAAAAAATTAAGATGTATATATAAATGAGTTTACGGTCCAAAAAATTGTTTCATCTTTTATCAGTAGGACTACATCAGCGTATTCTGGTGGTAATTAAACCGTGACGTAGGGCAGGTAAACAAGAGACATTTAATTAGCAGGTGTGAGGCGGGCAGGTTTAGCTGGGGTTTATTTTTACTGCCCGTGTCTTCAACGGTTATTTGAAAATAACATGTTTCCGCGTGTAGGTTGTGGAAGACAAGATCTCAGAAATTCGAATTCCGAGTTATCACCATCAGCTATTAAGAAAAGAAAAGGAAAACATCGCTAAACATGCTTTGGAATGGAATCCCCAAGGAAAAAGAAGGGTGGGCCGGCCAAGGAAGACATGGAGAAGAACGGTTGAAGAAGAGGCGAAAACAGCTGGGTTCACATGGGCACAGATAAAGGGAGCAGCCCAAAACCGAGTCCACTGGAGATGTGTGGTTGCAGCCCTTTGCTCCCCAGGGGCCACAAAAGAATGATGATGATGATGACCATCAGCTATGAGGTACTATGGCACCGGACTAACCAACTGCCAGCTGGAGAAAGAATCCTCTAGAGAAAATAGAGAACATGGGCCACACACTCGGGAATCCTGCATCCAGCATAACAAGACAGGCCCTCACCTGGAATCGACAGGGCAAAAATAAAAAGAGACGGACCAAGGAGACGTTACCTGGAAGAAGACATCAAGAAGATCGGATACACCTTGGGAAAGATGGAGAGACTAGCCCAGGACAGAGACGCATGGAAGGCTCTTGTCATAGGCCGATGTCCCATGATGGACGACAGGCTAACATCTATGCTGTGGCGTTGGATACCTGTCAACTTGTCAAACTCCATACCGGCCGAGTTGGTCAAACTTAGCTCTGGCGCCATCGCTGGCTCAAGATCCTTAAGCGGACCTATGGGGTTAAAGTCCAGTTAACTGGCATAGTAGATACCGGTGGGAATTACGCCTGGATCACAATGCACGAACTCTAAACCTAATGAGCTTAAAAATATGTTGAAAATGTTGTTTTAGTCTTACGAGGGACTGTGTGGTCGAGTAGTATAGCAATCGACTGCTAAGCCACAAGTCTCAAGTTTGGATCCAGATCTAGAGTTCGTAAGATATCACTGAGTCCACCCAGCTCTGATGGTACCTGACTCACGTTAAGTAAAGGTGTAAAGGTAGCTTGGCATAGTGCTGATAACACTATACCACATATACTGAGTTCAATAAAAAAGATTAAATCTGCATCTACCCTACAGCCCGTAAGTTTCGAAAGGGTACTTTACTTTTTCTTGTGTCGATTTTTTAATTTTGTTTTGTAAGCCAGACGTTTGACAGGAAGCTGCATCACTTCCTGGATACATGGCACAATGTTGAGAGAAGGCAGGTGTTTCATCTACCTGCAGCAGTCATTCTGGCACTATGTGCGGGTAAAGAATGTTCCTACCACACCTGAATGTTGGGTAAAGAATGTTCATACCACACCTGAATGTTGGGTAAAGAATGTTCATACCACACCTGAATAAACGAGCAAAGAATGTTCCTACCACACCTGAATAAACGAATAAAGAATGTTCCTACCACACCTGAATGTTGAGTAAAGAATTTTCCTACCACACCTGAATGTGCAAGTAAAGAATGTTACTACCACACCTGAATGTTGAGTAAAGAATGTTCCTACCACACCTTAATGTTGGGTAAAGAATGTTCCTACCACACCTGAATGTGCAAGTAAAGAATGTTCCTACCACACCTGAATGTTGGGTAAAGAATGTTCCTACCACACCTGAATGTTGAGTAAAGAATGTTCCTACCACACCTGAATGTTGGGTAAAGAATGTTCCTACCACACCTGAATATGAAGGTAAAGAATGTTCCTACCACACCTGAATATGAAGGTAAAGAATGTTCCTACCACACCTGAATGTTGAGTAAAGAATGTTCCTACCACACCTGAATGTTGGGTAAAGAATGTTCCTACCACACCTGAATGTTGAGTAAAGAATGTTCCTACCACACCTGAATGTTGGGTAAAGAATGTTCCTACCACACCTGAATGTGCAAGTAAAGAATGTTCCTACCACAACTTATCAACGTAGCGGTGCTTTGAGACACATTCTCTAACACATTATGTGTGTTTATATTCGCCTGCGTTTGTCCAATGCATGACCGTCAATAAAAAAATTAATTTTAAACGTACGTGGGTCGAAACTTTCAAAAGACATAAAACTCATTTATTGCATTAATTTGATAACTTCAGCTCCTCTAGGATACCTGTTCGAGATCTCACGGTTGCATCTACCCAAATACAATGATAAGCTCGAACTTCTGACGATCTTTACAACCTAGCTTTACGTAAGCAGTGTTTCTTTCGGGCAACTCCCCCTCCTCCCTCCCAACCCGACCACCACTACACTCCCCCGGACGAAATAGAAAACAATGTATTATTTATATATACAATATATTATTTCACCCATGCCCCCCCCCCCCTCAGGAGAATGAAGACCTGAAAGAAACCCTGTACTGAAGACAAATTACTGCCTGGAACAATCTCCCCTCCCTTCCGCTTTGCATATACGCTGTAACTGTCAATTAAAATTTAAGTAAATTACATTCATATGTCGAATTATTTTAATTTTTTTTTAATACAACTGTTTTGATTCCTTTAATTTAAAATTTACCGTAATTCATTCACAGAGACCCAAGCTCCATACAAGTGTACGATTTTAATTCAGGTAAAAATTCTAAGGAAGACATCTTTACCTGCAGTGACGCATTACACAAGACAAAGACGACTGACAGGCGCCTATTTGTGTTATTTATGTGCGCCCTGTCGAGCATATACGTCACACTCACACAAATTTTGTTTCGTATGTTGGTTTTGCTCCACTTTTTAAACCTCCTTTACTGCATTTGCGGATAGAAAAAAAAAGCTTTAATTCTTTTTTTTTTTTTTTTTTTTTTTTTTTAAATAACGCTAAGTAAAACGCATCCATTGCATCTTTCTAGAAAAGAAAAAAAATTTACTGGGTTTACCCCACATGTGAAAGGCATGTCAATTAAGCGGTCATTACGTTATCCCGTGTGAGCAGGTGACGAAAATCAGGCCGCACGTCTGCTGAAGGTGAGCTCTTGTGTGGAGGGAGTTGTGTGTGGTGTCTTGTCTACGCTCAGCCATTAGCTCACAAACAACAGCTGGGGAGCTTAGATAAGTTACAGTCACGTTAATCCGTCATAGACGGGAGCTAAACGGGGCTCGTAACCTTTATCTAAAGCGCCTGTGGATTAGCTAAATCTCAACACTTGAGAGACATGCGGAAATAGTGCACAACTTTTATTTAAGGCAACTGTGAGCTGAGCCCTAACCTCTCCTAGACGTGTATTAAACTTGTATCATAACCTTTACCTAATGCAGAAATACACTAAGCTCCTAAACTCTCCTAGACGTGTATTAAACTTGTACCATAGCCTTTACCTAATGCAGAAATACACTAAGCTCCTAAACTCTCCTAGACGTGTATTAAACTTGTACCATAGCCTTTAACAAATGCAGAAATACACTAAACTCATAAACTCTCCTAGACGTGTATTAAACTTGTACCATAGCCTTTACCTAATGCAGAAATACACTAAGCTCCTAAACTCTCCTAGACGTGTATTAAACTTGTACCATAGCCTTTAACAAATGCAGAAATACACTAAGCTCCTAAACTCTCCTAGACGTGTATTAAAATTTACCATAACCTTTAACAAATGCAGAAATACACTAAGCTCCTAAACTCTCCTAGACGTGTATTAAAATTTACCATAACCTTTAACAAATGCAGAAATACACTAAGCTCCTAAACTCTCCTAGACGTGTATTAAACTTGTACCATAACCTTTAACAAATGCAGAAATACACTAAAATCCTAATCTCTCCTAGACGTGTATTAAAATTTACCATAACCTTTAACAAATGCAGAAATACACTAAACTCCTAATCTCTCCTAGACGTGTATTAAGCGTGTACCAACCTTTATCTAATGCAGAAATACACTAAGCTCATAAACTCTCCTAGACGTGTATTAAACTTTTACCGTAACCTTTACGTAAAACAAAGCCACACAAACCTTAACCCATCATAGACGTCTATTAAACTTCTTACGTAACTTTTACGTAAAGCAGAAATACACTAATCCCAAACCCATCCTAGAAGTGAATTCAACTTGTACCGTAACCTTTACGTAAAGCATTGCAATACCAAACCCTAACTACCATAGAAGTGTGCTAAACGTAAATCCTAACATTTACCAAAATATCAGAAGCACACTAAACCCTAACCTACAACAACCGCAAGCTAAACGTTAAAAACCTACCACTCGAACTAATATTCAAAGGCCTCACTCCGCAAAGACGCTGTATTTGTACGTAAAACATTAAAACTGTTTTTTTTTAAATCGGAGGAAAAAACCATTTACCTGTATCACCGGTTTAGTTTTTAAACCCAAACCCGAATACCTGCTGACTCTAATTTTATTTTTTTGGGTCGTGAAAACAAATCAGCTGGGTTAGCACTCAAAGGCTTCCAATGATACACGTTAAGTTGGTGTACAACCTCCGCTCACTCGCATATATATATATATATATATATATATATATATATATATATATATATATATATATATATATATATATATATATATATATATATATATATATATATATATATATGAGAGAGAGAGAGAAAGATATTTATTTTTGTATGCTTTCATAATAACAGCACATACAAAAACAGATATACCCAAGAACCAATGCTGGTGAACACCAAAAAACAAACACAAACAAATTTTTAAAAAAACATATTAAAGAAAACAAGAACACGCATAGAAACGCTAAAAAAACACACGCAGAAACTCAGTAACACAAACACAAGAACAAACAAGCACATGAAAAACCACATGAACACACAAACACATGAACACACAAACACAAGAACACACAAACACAACAAAACACAAACACACGAACAAGCATATGAACATACACATGAACAAACAAGCACATGAACTCTTAAAGTACACCAAGTCAGATAAAACACAAGAAATATTCACGAAGAAGCAAAAAAAAAACTCCAAACGCTCTCACCCATTTCAAGTGAACACACACACACATATACATACTCACACACACATACACACACACACAAACACACATTTATCAGTTTCGATGAAGGAGAACGTGTCACAATTTTTATTTTTATCTCCCAAATTTTTGCCGTCCATCACGACATGCTCGACATTTTTTACGGCGTGAAATATTTCCGGTGTTTTTTTCGGTTGTTGTTTCAGCTATTTTATTTTCTGCGCACCTAAATCTAGATCTAGTGTTTGTTTAAAATGTAATTGGCGCTTTTCAAAATATCCGCAGTGTGATTTACAGTTTCAACACATTAGCGGATTTATTCTAAACGTAATTGCTACTATTATTTGTTTGTTTGTTGTTTGTTTTTTTTTTTAGAAAAAAAAAACTCTTGTTTTTTCTAAACCAAATCCACAAAATCTTTAAATTTTGTTTTAAGTTTAGAGTTTTTAAAACGTGTTCAGATTATCGATCTAAAAGTTGGAGTGTTTTATGATTGGTCCAAAGTGAATGAGGATGTATTATTATCATTACCTACCTGCTCTACCTCTCCAGGAGTGGACTGGCCCGCCGGTCTACGGAAAAATCTCGGTGGGCTCCCAGGTAGCATGGATATAGCGACGCCACCATAGGGGAGGGGGGAGGAAAAGAGTCTTAACCTGTCTGCGATATAGCGACGTCATCATTGGGGGGTAAAGTGTCTTATCCTGTTTGTACTATAGCGATGCCATCATAGGGGGGTAAAGTGTCTTATCCTGTTTGTACTATAGCGATGCCATCATAGGGGGGTAAAGTGTCTTATCCTGTTTGTACTATAGCGATGCCATCATAGGGGGGTAAAGTGTCTTATCCTGTCTGTACTATAGCGATGCCATCATAGGGGGGTAAAGTGTCTTATCCTGTCTGTACTATAGCGATGCCATCATAGGGGGGTAAAGTGTCTTATCATGTCTGTACTATAGCGATGCCATCATTGGGGGGGGGGGGGGTGTCTTAACCTGTATGCGATGTAGCGACGCCATCACAGGGGGAGGGGGGGGGTTAAGTCTCATTCTGCGATAAAGCGACGTCGTCAGGTTGGGGTGGGGCTGGGCGGAGGGAATACTATGTCTTCTGACTGCGGAATAACGACGCCATCATGGGGGGGGGAGGATACCGATTCCTCCAGCTGCGGTATAGCGACGCCATCGACGTTAAACATCTCCCCGGCACCCCTCCGTGTTATGCGGTTTTAATTTTCTTTTACTGCGCTGCTCTGTAATCGTCTTACCTGCACTCCCGTCATAATGTATCGGGAATTTCTCAGTTATTTATACATTTAAAAGGAAACAATAAAAACGGTATTATTTTTTTTATTTTACTTTCGACATACGTTGTCTTGGAATTTGTATTGAATTAAATGATACTAAAAGAAAATTGTAAGAACATTTTTTTTTAAATATGAATGCTTGGCTTTTTTTTTTAATTGATCTATTTGTCTTCTTGGGGAGCATTCCGGATTTTGGTTTTATTTATTTATTTTTTTTTTTTTGCTTAGAAAACCAAAAAAAGGCTTTTTAATTTTCTAAGTGGGTTTGTTGTTATAATACGATCAAAACTTTCTAAGTTTTTTATATTATATATCAAATGTAATATTATTTTTTTTAGTTGTTTTTTATATAACAAATTTAATGTCTTATATCTAGTGTGTGATGAAACAAGATACTCTATCAAACAAAGAAGTCCAGACTAACATTAGGTCCGATTCTCAAACTACGCAACACAACAGCTCATGCTTTTAAATCACAAATACTTTGTTAAAACACACACAACATGACAAATGATGTATTGTCTGGGTACACTGACTAGATAGATTGGTGGTGCTTTAAACCCTTATTGTTTAACTTGTTGATAAACTGTTTCAGTTCGTGTTTAGTCTTCTCATGAGGTCTCTTGATACAATATTTAGGCTTGTGGCGAGATATTTAATCTTGATCAAATGTTTTTTTGTTTTGATGTGTTTCCAAGTATTTTAGTATAAAAGAATGTGTAGGGGTGTGTTTAGACGGTGTGTCAAAGTGTTAATAAAATGTTTAGATTTGTATCCGGATTTTTAATCTTGATCAAATCTTTTCGTTTCTGTTTTGATGAGTGACTGGGTTTTAAAAATGTGTAGAAAACGAAACGTTTATGCTTTTGTCCAGGATTCTGATGTGAAAAATGTTTAGGTTTGTGTTTAGGTTTGTGTTTAGGTTTGTGTTTAGGTTTGTGTCCGAATTTCTAACATTGAAATAAATGTTTAGGTTTGTGTTTATGTTTATGTCAATGTTTCTATCATTGGAAAAATGTTTAGGTTTGTGTTTAGGTTGTGTCCAGGTTTCTAATTTTTTTTAAATGCTTAGGTTTGTGTTTAGGTTTGTCTCTAGGTTTCTAACATTGAAAAGATGTTTAGGTTCGTGTTTAGGTTTGTGTCCAAGTTTCAAACATTTAAAAAATGTTTAGGTTTAAGTTTAGGCTTATGCCCAGGTTTCCCACTCTAAAAACTGGGTGAACTGAACTTAGAAAACCAACTTGCACGTGAACTCTACCTGACCTAGCAGGCTGGTGCCCCGACATGCGAGCGTTGCTGTCGTGTTTACATCACGCCTGACAGGAGTTTGCTAAATAATCAACATTTTTATTCCAGTTTTGTTTTCAACATCAATCTCTCAAATTCCCTGTCAGTATTACTAAAAACATTTTTTTTTAAACATTAGCTTCTGATAGGTAAATTTCGTTTAACGAGTTTCTGGAATTATTTTTTTTAATCGTCGACAGTTTTGTTTCATTTTCGTATATGACTTTTTAAAAATAAAATAAGGAAGGGCAAAGAGAAAAAAAAACGTCTGATGTTGGCCTAAGGATAGGGTAGTGCAGTGCATCCGGTACGCATTCCAGCGAAAGTAATTTTTGTTTAATGATAGCATAGGGTTACTGCGCCTTGTTTTTCAAATTTATGACTATTTTTTTCTTTGAACCAGCAGTCCTAGACAATACACCCGGCAAGTTTTGGGTACGGGTCCACTCGGGATGTTTCAAATTGTTTAACTGCTCACCATTCCGTGCATGTTCGTTGGCAACTAGACACTACTTTATCTGAGGCGTCGCGACATATTACGGCGCCTGGGACGAATAGTCCCCTCATTTGTATATTTATTGGCATTGGCAAAAAAGCACCCTTCACCCCCACCCTAGTTAGAAAAGGTCGGTTGCGCTTTTTACCAGTCACTGTTCTTTAATGGGTTTTATGTTAATGTCAGACATTTAATACCAAAAACAGTTAAATAAGCCAATAAAACATGTCTATTTCCTTACCTTCGACTGTGTATAGTTTTTGTAGTGCAGCTCTAAATGAGCTTTTTATTATTTTTCTACCCCGTTTGGCACCCTCTGAGGACGCCCCACCCGCCCTACCATAGCTACGCTTCTGCACTTGGTTAAACTAACGAATCTGTACACATTTAAGTAAGCACGCAGGTACGCTCATGATAAACCAAACTCTAAACTATGGGTTGGGAATCTTGCGCGCTACAACTTGACCACCACGTTCCTTACATACTTTATGTAAGCCTGTGTAAGTATTTACAAATGCTGCTAATGCTACTCAACAATGTAACCTACAACATGGTCACACTTAAATCATACATTAAATAAATTCCGATTCAACCTCGCAAGTCCCTTAATGAATTGAGTTTATATAGAAAAGTAGCTTTTTAAATTTACTAAAACAAAACTAAACTTTTTTATGCAACATCAACGTCAACTATTAAAGCAATATTCATCTTCTTAAAAGAACCCCAAAGTTTAATTACCGTACGCGAATAAATTTTAAACAATACTTACTGGATTTAATAAACAATAATTAACGTCATCCTCATTTTAAAAAAAGATAATCTCAAAGTTTAATTACCTTACGCGAATAAATTTTAAACAATACTATAATAAACAATTACTAACGTCAACTATGAAACAATCAACTCTCTTTTTTATTCCAATTTTTAATTACCCTACGCGAAAGAATTTTTAAACAATACTTACAGACTACACTAGACAATTATTAACATACCTAATTGGTAACAAAAGAGAAAACTAACGAAGTGGCTAATTAACCATGGCTTTTGTGTTCTATTTTTAGCTCACCGCGGTAGGTCGGCAGTGTGGGAGACTTCCGATCACGCCTCGAGAGAAGAGCGGTGAAAGAAAGGGAGGTAAGTCGATTAGAAGAATAAACAAACAGGAGACGTAACTCGCCGTGGCTTTATTCGCTTGAGCTGCGTTGTTTCCTTTGCTGCTTCTTGTATCCTGTTTCGCAGTTTATTTCGTTTAATTACTTTTAAACATTATATTTATAAAGGATTCTTTTATATTGATTATTTTTTCCTAAAAGACGTAATATATTTCCATTACCCCTTATTCGATAATGTAACGTAATGTTTATAATCACTTTTCAACTTTACATCTGTAAACGATTGCATTTTATATTGCTGTTATTTATTTTCATGTTTTCGAATAAATTCGACTACTACATTTCAAATAATTTTTTTTTTAAATATATTTCGAATATCAATTTGTCATCGGTCGGCAATTTCTACAAGCCTTTATTTTCACCACCCAAAAAAAAAAAAAAAAAAAAAAAAAAAAAAAAAAAAAAAAAAAAAAAAAAAAACAATACATGTTTGAAAATGTAAAAAAAATAATATAAAAAAAATACATGTTTGATATTGTGACTTGGCGTTTATACCGATGTATTCCCCTTTAATGTTGACCAAATTTTAATTTCACAAATACAAACTAATTACACTGATACACGTTTTATAATGCTGCGATGTACATGTAGTCACTCTTTGTTATTGTCTATAAATACTCGATTTACGAAAACAAGAATGACATTTCGCTCTTTTTTTTGTGCGCAGTTTTCCGTTGCGCATCGTTCCGGTCACCCTAGCTTACTACTAAAATTTGCACTGAAACCCATCATAGACGCTCTATGAAAATTCCAAAACCAACAACAGATCAATCAAGGCTGGATGGATGTACTTATAAAAAAAGAGAAAAATATATTAATGGAAGCCAGATTTTAAAGATCATACAGTATTTTTCACTTTTAAAGCAACTAGCGGTAGAGAGCTGGACTGCTAACCCGTAAGTCTCGAGTTCGAATCCGGGTTCAAGTCAGTAGACCGTCCCTGAGTCCACCCAACTCTGATGGGTACCTAACTCACGTTAGGGAAAGTAAAGGCGGCTGGTCATAGTGCTGACCATACTATCTCTTCATATGCCGAGGTCACAGAAACAAGTGAACTCTACTTCACTTGCCCTATAGACCGTCAGGTTTGAAAAGGGAACTTTACTTTTTTAAAGCAATTATAAAAGTTTGATGAGGGTGATCTGTTTGATGTCTCTCGTGTGCTGGTACTCATGAAACAAACTCACACGTCACGTGCTTCTGGCTACTCACGTCTGCCCGTCAGACGAGATGTGGTGTGCGAGTAAACAAACGCTTCATCAACGTTAACAGCCAGGCAGTTTTATGTGTATGGGGATTTTACCCAGGGTAACTATTATATATATACAAAATATATGGGTGGGGGTGAACGGTCAGGCAGTTTTATGTGTATGGGGATCTTATCTAGGGTAACAATTATATATACAAAATATATGGGTTGGATTTAATAGCCATGCAGTTGTATGTGTATGGGGATCTTATCTAGGGTAACAATTATATATACAAAATATATGGGTGGGGGTGAACGGTCAGGCAGTTTTATGTGTATGCGGATCTTACCCAGGGTAACAATTATATATACAAAATATATGGGTGGGGGTGAACGGTCAGGCAGTTGTATGTGTATGGGGATCTTATCTAGGGTAACAATTATATATACAAAATATATGGGTGGGAGTGAACGGTCAGTCAGTTGTATGTGTATGGGGATCTTATCTAGGGTAACAATTATATATACAAAATATATGGGTGGGGGTGAACGGTCAGGCAGTTTTATGTGTATGGGGATCTTATCTAGGGTAACAATTATATATACAAAATATATGGGTTGGATTTAATAGCCATGCAGTTGTATGTGTATGGGGATCTTATCTAGGGTAACAATTATATATACAAAATATATGGGTTGGGGTGAACGGTCAGGCAGTTTTATGTGTATGGGGATCTTAGCCAAGGGTAACAATTATATATACAAAATATATGGGTGGGGGTGAACAGCCTCTTCAATCTTCATTGGCATTCTGGCTCTAAATCTAAAGCCTTTGTAGGTAGTGGGGAGTACAATATTAGACTATAAATACAGCGTAGTCGGTCAGATGAGGCTCGATAATTGGGGACGGCCACTCTTCTAGGAGAGACAACACCAAATCAAACAGCTGCTGCCTTGTAGTTTGTTCTTGGGTGGACATTGACTCTGGAAGCATATTCAGAAAGGAAAAGCAGGCTGAAATCGGCGTCAACCGCCTATATGGCGCTTAACAAGATGACACGCAATACTTCATTGTGTTGGAAGAAGTCACTTCGAACATTACAGTTAAGAATGAAGTAGAAGAAGAAGATTGTAGCCCCCTACTCTAAGCAACTATTACCTGTATCTTTGCTGTCCGTTTTCCTAGAGCCCTGCCATACATCAGATACAAATGTTCCAATCTACCCTAATTTTTACCCGCCTTAGCCAGCAACTTATCGCATCCGAATTATATCAGTGCTATCTAGAACAATAATCCCCGCCCCTGCCCATAATTTATCCCCACCCCCTCCTCATAACATACCTTTTACACCCCTATCTAGAACAACTGCCTCCGCCCCTGCCCACAATTTATCCCCGCTCCTGTCCTCAACATACCACCTTCACCCTACCCACCAAGAACTACACCAGCCCCTACCCACAATTTACTCCCTCCCCTATCCACAACATACCCCCTTCACCATACTCACCAATAACTACCCCCCTTCTAACCCACAACAAACCCCCTTCACCATACTCACCAATAACTACCCCCCTTCCTAACCCACAACATACCCCCTTCACCATACCAACCAACAACTACCCCGCCCCCTTACTATATCAGTTATCTCCTCCTATCTACCGACTTTAAACTGATTTAATGACGGGTGTCTTCTTCTTTAAAGATCTGCCATAACCTCAGACCCATGTTATCTCACCAACGTTTCTTTCTTTTTACTTTACAGAACGTTAATCGCAGTCTCAGTATTATCATTTTTATTTTTATTTTTTTGTATCTTAAAAACATTTTCAAAAACATCACCCAAAACATCATCTAAAACATGATCAAATCATGAAAAAACCTGAAACATACACGGTATATCGTTTCTGTGTCGACCAGAAATAGAATCCTATTTGGATTGCCAGTTTTTCCTGATTTCCTTCACAGCTTTGTGAAAAAAAAAAATCAGAAATGATAATGTCCGTAATTTTTCTATCTTTTCTATCATTGCGGAGATGTTTCTTTTTTTTTTCTAGTATTTTTATTTTTATTTTTACATTGCTGTTAACTGTAGTTAAAAAAAATACACCATGAATTTGTCGTCGCGGTAACAGTTGTGGTTCTTAGAAAATTAATATGTTTAGCAGGTGTATGTTCGTGTGTGTTTATTTGAATGCTGTATTGCGTACGTGTGTTTATGCTTCTCTATTTGAAGGTGTGAGCTTGTAATCGGGTGTATTATGTTTGTCTAAGTGTACGCTTTTGTGCTTGAGTATTTGTATCGGCTTGAATATATGTGTGTGTTTTGTGTATGACTTCATGCTTATATATATGCATGCGTCTGCATATGCGTGAGTGTAAATATGTGTGTCTGTATGTATGCCTTTGTGTGTGTACATATGGCCTCGTGTAGACTTGTGTGCTCACATAATAGATGGGGGGGGGTGACCTCAGCTGATCTTAACTGCTAATTATAACCAGGAAAAAAAATTTAATCGCAACTGAAAATGATTATTATAATTATTTTTTTTCGTTAAGTAAATTTTTGAAACCCATTTGGGACCTGGAAGGTGAAGTAGAGTTCGCCTGTTTATGTGACCTCAGCATATATGAGGATAGGGTGGACAGTTGAAATAAATGACCAGCCGACGTTTCAAAATTATTTAGGCCTTAAAAACAATCTATCTAAAACGAAGTAAGTCCTATACTATTTGACGGACTACCCGCCTTATCTACTTTATCATACTTAAGTGAACCGCCCTGCAAAAAATACACCTGTGTGTATAGACGAGGGAGGGTGTATGTGTGTGGCACTGTATGTCTATGTGTGGTGGCACACTATGTGTAGGTGCGTGATACTGTGTGTGAATGTGTGTAGATTAGTGATTGTGTATGTATGTGTGGCGCTGTATGTCAATGTATGTGACGCGGTTTGTGTATTATAATATCATGAGTGTACGACTGTATGTGCATGTGTGTAAAACTATGTGTATGTGGGTGAATGTGCGTAGATTAAGAACTGTGTATGTGTACGTAGCGCTGTGTGTTTTTGTGTGGGACACTCTTATTCATCAGCATTACTTTTTGTTAATTTATGCTTTTTGGCATGTGTGCCTAGAACGATAGTTATAGAAGTTTCTCTCTAATCTAATTGCTTTTAAATGGTTAAAAGAGGTAATTGTTTTAAAGCATACGTAATAAACGCCTATTTGCTTTCTTCAAGTTCTCCAAGAAAAAAAATTCGAAAAATTTCCAGCAGAAATTTTAAAGTTCTCATGAACTTTTCAAACAGAAAAATATATTAAAAAATTCCTCCCTAAAAAAAAAAAAAAAAATCATTCCACCTGGTTTGTGACTGGAGAAACGATTGTTAATTAAAGACATTTTTGTTTCTTCTAGCTCGTCCGCACAAATCAGGTTAGAAATATACGTGTTTCAGTTTTTGTTTACAAATTAGCGAGATCAGTAGTGAAAAGGGGCGGTCACTTAGTTACGAGCAAATAGGGTTTTTTTTTATGTCTGAGGAGTTGCAATGTTTATATTAGCCAGACCGATATAGAAAGCTCAGTGTAGATGTTTTGAGAAGCTAAACAGTTACAGAAAAACGGACAGTTTTTTTCTGTCTGAACTATTTACTATGATATGTGATCTTGCTTATGTTATACGTGATCGTGCTTATATTTTATAACTCACGAATATAGCTTTTCACTCATTATGAACCACGACTCCATTAGGTAAAGCAAAAAAAAAAGTTATGTAATTCCTTTAAGGTTTTCACTGGGCTATCATGGGCTCTTCTAAAGAAAAACCTTCTCGACAAAGTTTTAATGCTAGTTTGAAGCTTTTTGCAGTTTCTGTAGCGGTTCTTTTTTTGCGAGATGAGTCAATAGATATGGACATCAAAACCCCTAAATGGGGATGGATTAAACATACCCTGAGAAAGAAAGAAGATAATATCGCGAGAATGCTTTAGACTGGACTCCCCAGGGAAGAAGGAAGGTGGGCCGGCCAAAGAGATCACGGAGAAGAACGGTAGAGGAAGAGGCAAAGGCTGCTGGGCTCACAGTGGGTACAGATAAGGAGAGCTGCCCAACCCCGAATCCGGTGGCAGAGGCGTAGCGAGGGGGGGGGGCGGGGGTGCGGACCGCACCGGGTGACACCATTTAGGGGGGTGACACCAAGGCAAAAAATAGCAAAATATATAGAGAAAAACTTGAGGGGGGTGCAAATTGAAAGTTTCAGGGGGGGGGGGGTGCAAATTGAAAGTTTCAGGGGGGGTGCAAATTGAAAGTTTCAGGGGGGGGGGTGCAAATTGAAAGTTTCAGGGGGGGTGCAAATTGAAAGTTTCAGGGGGGGTGCAAATTGAAAGTTTCAGGGGGGGTGCAAATTGAAAGTTTCAAGGGGGGTGCAAATTGAAAGTTTCAGGGGGGGTGCGAATTGAAAGTTTCAGGGGGGGGGGGGTGCGAATTGAAAGTTTCAGGGGGGGTGCAAATTGAAAGTTTCAGGGGGCAGATTAAAAGTTTGACCCCGGGAAGGGTCGCTACGCCTCTGGGGGGGTGACACCATTAAGTGCCGCACCGGGTGACACCCGACCTCGCTACGCCTCTGTCCGGTGGAGAGATGTGGCTCCAGCCCTTTGCTCGCCAAGGGCCACGAAGAAATAAGCCAAAGTCAGTCAATTCCTTTATTTTAGTGGAAATCAATTGCTACATTAAAAATAAGTTAAAAGCCTTTTATTGCGCTGAAAGTAAGAATTTGAAAACAAGTTATCGCAACTTTTTCATTCAGCCATTATTAATAGAATTTTTTTTTTTTGCGAAAAAAAAATAAAAACAAAGGAAATTAAATTCATCAGCATTTCTAATTTCCTAATACTACCAAAATATAATAAATAAATACTAATCATCCATTTTGTTTTTAGCCCTATCTTTGACACGATACCTTTTCAATACAATAAGCACTCAGCTCAGCTCAAACATCAGGCATTCTTGGGTTAGTGTGAAGCAGTGTTTCTTCCATACCTTTTTCTCCAGGGAGGCACTTGAAATTTTCAGGTGGTGGGGCGGACTAAAATTTCCGGGGGTGGACGGGGGGTGGACACTGGTAAAAGTATATATTTTCAGGCGGGGGGGCGGACTAAAATTTCCGGGGGGGGGGGGGCGGACACTGGTAAAAGTATATATTTCTATATAAATTATATTTCGTTCGGGGGGGATGGGGTAGTAGATATTCTGAGGGTGGGATGGGGGGAGGGCGCCCCCCCCCCCCAATCGAAGAGATGCTTGGAAGAAACTCTGGTGTGAAGACGCATACGCTACCCTAATTTTTAATAGATTTTATAACCACATGGCAACGTTTTTTTAGAACTGTTTAACAGATTTGTTGTTGTATTTTTTATTATAAAAAGATAAACATTTACCTGTGTTCGGAGCGTAATCTCCAATATATCTCTTCGTTATATACCGAACAGCGAAGGCTGGAAATAAATAAAAAAAAAGTCAATCATTAGCTACTAAAATGTATGCATTGCATCAAAAGATTAAACTGTTAGTTATAGTGTATTAATATTATGTCTAGATGTCTGTGGTTATTTCAGCGGGTTATTTTGATATGTTATTAACTTGAATAAAGTTAGATATTTGTATAATGCGGGACGTTTGTGTATAGAGTGTGTGGGGTTTGTGTGGAGTTTGCGTGGAGTTAGTGTGGAGTATATAAAGTGCAATTTTAAAATGTCTGTTGTTTTAATGGGGGTTTTTTGCTAACCATTATTTTATATGTAGACTCTTGCAAGTGTTTAGTATAAAGCTATATATATATATATATATATATATATATATATATATATATATATATATATATATATATATATATATATATATATATATATATATATATATATATATATATATATATATATATATATATTGTTTAAAATTAATTTATTCTGCGACAAATTTATATTTCTAAATCACCAATGTATCAACTAAACCCATTATAACTTTAAGACAGTGCCGTAGCTACCGTAAAGCTAGCGTAAGCAAGGCTTAGGGGCCCAAGACACATAGTGGCCCTTTACCCTCTTAAAAAAAAATTAAAATCTTTTTATTGGAATTTTAAAATATGTTTTATATAAATAATTTTAAAAAGGAAAAGGTTTAAAGTTCCAAAAAATCCCATAGTCCATTCCAACTGTACAGGCATTATGATTCAGTGGGAGGGGGGGGGGGTTGGGGTCGAACACGGCCCATCCGTAAAAATAACAATAAAGGCTTTGTCGTGCAACTGTCCACACTGCCCGAATCCATCCTACTAAACAGCAATGATGACAACTGAACCATTAAAATGACAACCATGGACAGTGTTTTCACAACGAAGTCCAACATTTATCAATGTTTTATAGCCCAACATTTATCAATGTTTTATACTAATTTTTACCTTAATGACATTTTATTTTTTTTTAATCTAATTAATCTTTAATCAATATGACAGTACTAACACCATAAGTTTTTGGTTTTCATCCAATCGCCAAGAAACTTTAGAAAGTCGTTGAGACACTTTTTATGAAAAGGTGCTTGAAAGAAACTAAGGCGGTCCGGTTTGCCACCCAGAGTCTCCCAGCCGCTATCTTTGCACCCTGCTATCCATTGATTGGGTGTCCGGCGCATCGGGTCAGCGTTACTAATTGATCCAGCAATCTACCTGCATAGGCGCATTAGCCGGCGGTCATGTAACATGGTATTCGTTTTAACGAGCGCCATACGCTAGGGATACGGAGTGATACGAAAACTAAAATCGATTACTAAATCGAACTAGGGGTGTCCTCCAGCGCTTCAATAGTGGGAAGGATGGGCGCCCGAGTTACCCAGCGGCTACCTGAGTGCAAAAGATCAGTTGATTCGGCGTACTTTAGAGTCACGGATACTACTTGATTTAAAGGTCAATCTGCAACAGTGGCGGCTTTCGACGCCCCCCCCCCCCCCCCGGCGTACAGATGACACCAATCACACGAATATTCTATAAAAGGGACATGGTAGGACTCTACGTTCGATGATTAAACCGAACAAAGGGTGCACCAGGCTACCTACGGTAGTGTAACCAGTCACTCCCGCGACGCCCCTGACACCTAGGCGGTCACCGAAAGATATTCACCCTCACTATTGCGGAGGATGATTAACGTACTCTTAATGCTTTTATACAGCACGCTCAAGTGCGTCTATGCGGTATAGTGTGAACAAACCCGCGTCCCGCAATAAGGATCCCAAAATAAAAAATAGAACCTATCTGAAATAGTGCTCAAATTATAGGCTTTTGAAAATATCAAAGCAGAAAAAGTACCACTTCCTGTTATCGGAAATCGCTCAAAGTTGATAGGGATCTACGATTGTGATAAAATACTTATATATGAATTTTCATCAACTCAAGGTACTCAAGTTATCGTGTTTACAGACACACAGACAGACACACACACATACACACAGACATACGGACAAGATTGCAAAATTATGTTTTTCCGACTCAGTGAGGTGTAAAACGTCGAGATTTGTAAAAATATCGATTTTTTTTTTAAATCGTGTTTTTTTAATGTTTTGTTGTGTTTCGGTTATCTATATATATAATTCTCTTCTGGGAGCCGTTAGAAAACAAGCTGCAAGCGCCTCCTTGCAGTCCCCTCTCTTTCTCTCTATCACTATCACTACCACCTCCACCCCACCCCCACATTGTCTGGTGAGCTGTGGTCACGCTAAATGTTTACAAAACTAAATGTTTACAAATCGTAGAGCCGTAGAGCCGGGTTTCTATTAGAGAGGTAACTAAGAAATAACTAAGAGGAGGCTGCTTTCACGGGGGGGGGGGGGGGGTGTAGGGGGTGTAGGGTCGGGGTTAGGGGAAAGGGGGGGGGTAGTGTTTTAAAGCAAATATTTTCAGTGGCAGCATTGGTACTGTCGAATTCACAAATTATGAATTACTGAAAAGTAGAAAATAAAACAACCAAATAGTGGCGTATGATACGCTGCGGGTCGGCTCGTTATAATAAAATACGCTCATCTGGAGTTGAACGACAAGATGAGAATAAAATACGCTAAAATGGAGTTTTACCTTATAGATAACTGAATAATAAGCCAAAATCAAAGGCTAAATATATCAGTATAGGCCAGAAATTAACTTTAAACAGCAGTGTTTGCGAGGTAGGGCACTTGAAATTTTCGGGAAGGGGGCGGTAAACTTTCCTCAGGGGGAGGGGGGAAGACACTGTTAAAAGTATATATTTTCTATATAAATTATATAAATTTCATTGGTAAAATCACGATATAGCGTCGGTTATTATTCCGGAACTGTACAGCAGTAAAAAACAGTAAAACCATGGCGTAGTCTGTCGAGCCGTTCCGGAAACCACCGGAAATACTGTAAACCATCATTTATTTGCCGCCATATTATTTTTAACAGATAATGTTTAAAAATGTGCAAGGATTGATTTTAGTTGCATTTTAAATACTGTTTTGCTAATTATTTTGTATTTCTAATTATTTTAAGTGTATGCGCTGATTATTGCTTCTACTAAACATTATTCTAGTTATTCTTACTACTTTTAACTTTAGTAAATCTAATCGTCTAGTCTTATTTACTAGATCTAAATAGAGCTGGTTGTCGCAAATCTTCTGCAGATTTTTTCTGTTTCTTAAAAAAAACATAAATTACTACACTCGACTTTATTAATAATATTTAGATTTACTAATTGTTGCTAAATTTTTGTCAGTTAAACATTAAATTAAGTTAAAACATTAATTTAATGCAGTTGACTTTATTTTTTTTTCAACGGTTAAATAAACTATGGTTTACAGTAACGAATGTTACCGAAACTCAACGAACATTACCCAATAATTTCCGACGCTATATCGTGATTTTACCATTTCATTTCGTTCGGGGGGGGGGGGGGGCGCGGAAAAAAAATTACGGGAGTGGGGGCTTTGTGTCGTCGTCCCCCCCCCCCCCCCCCCCCCCCGAAGAGATGCCTGGAAGAAACTCTGTATATAAACAGCAGCCATTTGTAAAATAGAGTGGCTTCCCCTGCTCCCGCTAATAGGCCTAGTTTACACAAAGAAAAATGAAACAAGATGGCTGCTATAGCAAATCATGAGTATGGTTGGATCTGATCAAAACATCGCTAGTCTTCACGTTGAAAAGTTTTAATTCAATTGTTTAAAAACAGGTACATAAATGAACAATTTTTGTAAATCTCAAAACATAATTCCTACTAAAAATGTGAAATAATTACACTATTAAAATTAGGAGTCAACCCGTTTTACATTTTCATTTAGATTCTAGATCTAGACCTAGTGTTTTTCACATATACTTAGAACTTAGAATAGATTCTAGATCTAGATCTAGAATCCAGATCTAGATCTAGATTCTAAAAGCCTACTAGTGAGGATCTACTACTAGAGCTAGATTCTACTAGATTTCTAGATGTACGCTGATGTAGATTAGAATTAGATCTAGATCTAGTAGTGGGCTATTTTAATATTTATTATTTAATATTTATGTAGAGGAGTTTACACTTTTCGGACACACACCAAAAATTACGTAGGACCGAACACTTCGTCGGTTTTTGGCTCATAGAAACTTTAATTAGCATGTCTCACGCGAAACCACGGCGCCTGCACGTAAACTGTTCATTTATGAACACTTCCGTGTCAAGTACTTCCGTTTCCTTTCTCAAGAATTATTTTTAGAAATTTTTTAACGTTGCATGGTACGCACATTTCTATTTTTACACCAGCCGGATGAAGTGACCTAGGGTTGGACTTAGGGGCAAAACTTGAACCAATCAATGCTTAGCTAAAAGGTTACACTATAAATAGCTTCTATATATGTATGGAACATCGTAAATGTCAAGGTTAATGGGTTTTTTTGTGCTTGAACAATAAAAAAGGGGTGTTCGCTAACTTATTTGGCCTTACATGGGATCGGACACCAACACAAAAATATTACTAAATAAGAATTTAGAGCATAAAAGGGGCTGGTTATTGAAGGGAAAGGGTCAAAATAAGGTCAAGAAGGCAGTGGAATGCAAAAGAGGAGGGGGAATCATGTGACCTGGCTGGCTTAGCAGCGTACTGCGCGAGCCGCAATGGCTGAATGGGATGAACTTTGGGAGTGTGGGAAAAAGGTTTTATACTATTAAAATTACCTCACAAACAATCAATAACACAATATAAATGCATATAATATATGTTTTTATTCATTAAATTGACTTTAAATTATTCTAAATGAACAAAAAGTGCTATGTCCGATGACGGGTAAAGGTGTCCGAACACATGTAAAACTGTATTACATGTGTTCGAACACACGTTAAGACCCCCCAGTCACTATAACAAGAATAGCTTAAGTTCTATGCGTATGAATACAAAATGACACACACATTATTAAAGTAGAATGGTTGCGGATAGATATGATACTTTTTTTTGTTTTCTA